TTTCAGTAGTGTTATAGATATGAATGAATAGCTTGAATACACTTGCTCTCAAGTTTAGTTAATTGTTAAACTTCTCACTTCTCCGGATTTGAAGAATAGACATAAAGTTTAGTGACTTTTTAATATAAAAAATAAATACTTATAAGTTAGCTTTGTTAAGGGGAAGAAGAGGAATATCGGAGTTGATAGGAAGAGGAGTAAAATCATATGCTCGTAAATAGACAAGAATTCATACATGTGTGGGTTGGTTGACACACTGTGGGAAACAAAACCAACTGGTAAATACTACCCACACGAGTGTTTACACCTAGCTAAAATAATTAATTTAAAGAATCAACAAATTAAAGTCTAAATATATATCATTTAACCATGGTTAAGTGTTAAAAAGTTAAATTCAAAATATATATTTTATATATATTTATTGGCTTGGTATAAACACATGATGCTGATAAATTTTTTATACAACCCAAGCCAAGAGGCATACTTTGGACTACGTTTCAAACATCCACAAAAGTAGTCATAATCTAGGAGCTTAGCCGCAATATTCGATCTCTATATATAGACTATAGCCTATAGGCACGTTTACAATAATTAGTCACTTCTATAAGGCCTCAGGTCAACTGAGGAATTTGAACCTTTTAACTTGCAACTTTAGATTAAAATAAACTTTACACTAAAAAGTACTTGACTTTTTTATTTTTGCTTTGAGTTTATTCGTTTTCAATTTTTTTGCGAAGTATTTGGATTTGTTTACGAAATAATTGATTTTGAATCATTGTTTTAGAGAAATCTTGTGTTTTGAATGTTTTTTCTTTGTTTTTTAAAATCAAATGAAACCAAAATATTAAGGAATATCACTCTTATTTATTCTACTTGGTTGTTTATTTTATTTTCTATTTCTTTTTGGACTCCATGCTATTAATTAATGATGTCTTGCTGCATTAACTAAATTTTTACTCATAATAAGCAATGGTGTAAACAATATTTTACGTAAAATATGTCGGTTTAATGTTAAATTCGGCTCTATTATAGTTGTTTTATCACTTTACTTCTGCCCAAAATGATACTTATTTGTATTATTTTCAAATTGTATATGTGTATGCATTAGTTTTTTTTTTTCCTTCACAAAGGAGACTAATTTTATTCTACATGTAAGAAACTATCACATAATAATCATATCATACTATATTATAAGTGTGAGAACTTTTAGGTAAAGTTATTTTACTAATTTGCCCATCAAAAATTTGAGTGACGGTTCTACCCTTCAATCAAACATTACTTCAAAAATAATTTTGTACAAAAATGTAAATACACGTTTCAATAAAAATATACAAATAAAGAAAGTTTAATTGGGCAAAACGCCTCTTTCATTAACTACCAAATTATTCTTTCAACATTAATGTACATAAATATAAGCTATAAAATCTATCTTGAAATTATTGAAATATTTATTATGGTGAATGTATTTAAAACTTTTTTTCCCCAAGGTATCTAAAAAGATGACGGTTTTCGAAAGTTAACTTACAGTGATCCAGATTCACGTATCATAAAATGTATCAGAAATTATAAAAATGGCTTTTACTATTCCTCTATTTTGTCTTTACGTTTCTATTTTCGCAAGACCACTATAAATTTTGTTTTAACAATCTACAAAAATGCCAGCTGAAGAAAACAAATTGGTCATGTTTGTGAGTGAAAAGATAGAAGGACCTCAAGCTTTTTATTGCGGTGATTACTCAAAAAGAGTGAAGAATATATAAACAAAAGTCTAAGGACTGAAAAACTCTTTTGAATAAGCCGGTGCTTGCTGAATAGCAATATATAGGTGTTGCATCCTCCTTCAATTTGGCCCCAAGAAGAGTTATGTTTGTTGTTGCATCATCAATTCTCTCCTTATAGGATTTAGGAATCATTCCTTTAAGGACAAGGCCATCAGAGGACTTTTACAGGTGCATTACCCAATTGACAAGGCTAAAGAACAAAGGTGGAGCTATGTGCTTCTTCTACACAAAATGCTCTTAAGGATCCAACATTTTATACATAATGCGTGTGAAAAATCGAATACTCTATACATTCTTTGTATATTTTCTGTTTATATATAACACGTCAGTAGTCTAGAAGTTATACTCCATTCTTAATTTTTTATGAAAATAAAAAAAAAATACAAAAATGTAAAATGTGCAATGCGAGAACAATGGGTAGCAAGTATAATTACGTTACATGCGCGATGTGTGTGAAGAAAGTGTGGAACTAGAATAAGGAAGTAATTCAATGAAATATTTTTATGGGAAATTGCTCAAATTTATTTGTATACCGCTAATATAAAAAAGGAAAATAAACTAAGATATTTAATTTATGGCTTAGTTTAGCTAGAACATTTTTGACGTTTATTGTAAAAGTGATTGGTTTCATAATGGTTCATGCAAGTATATAGCGGCTGATAAAAAACTTAAAATTATTGCTTGTCTTGTCTTGCATGTACAAGTTTTGTATTTGACTTCCCCTGAAGTATGTGTATTAAGATTTTCTTGTTTGAAAGGGGTTTAATGAATATTGTTGTGTAATATTTGAATGAAATAGTTAACATTATATGTGCGTATTAGTCCATGACGTTATATACAAATTTCCGATTTCTTATCTTTTGTATGTATGTTACAAATCTGAATGATGAAATTTCATATGATTATTCGTTTTTGCATATGCTAGTTGTGAAGGAAAGTATACCTATCATGCATGTTACTTGAAATTTAGACCCCTCAGATGACTTATATATAACATATAAGGATAATCAAGCGTGTCTTTTTCTTCCTAAAATTTAACTTTCACCCCTAGAAATGAGAAATATCCTTTCAAAATCATTAGATAGCAATTCCCTATGTGTTTGTGATTTGTAATGATAATAAATAAACTATCTGGCCAAATAATATTCTTTGATGTTAGCTTGTACATGCTGCAATGTATTTTCTAACATGAATAATTATATGTTTGTGCTTTCAAGATAAATATTAATGCTGCAATAAACGATCTACATCGAGCAACCAAAAGAAAGCATACACACCAAGAACCTCATATAAGGAAGTATAGGTTAATATACGATAATAGCACATGTTCATACCTCATAACATTAAAATTAATAAGAAGTACACATTGTAGCTACCTAACTAAATATAGTTGTTTAGTTTCGCAAATGATATCTTATCCTATAGTATTCAACTGCCAAGTCGCTCGGCTTAATATGAACAAATTCATCACATGTTTATGCAATTTTAAAAAGCTTGTAATAATTGAACAAGGGTATACACGTGCAACGCACGTGTGCAGAAACTAGTATAATTATAAGCAAATAAGTCGAATCTACTCTGGAATTCGTATCACTCTCTCATGGAAGGGAAGTCTCATCAACATCGCAGCGTTTCATTTATTATGATATTAATTAATTACAAGGCGTTATGAATAAGTTAATTAATATGTCGATATTGATTAAGTTTCTCTCCCGTCCTTGTTTTGCTATGAATTAGTGGTATCAGTTTTTGCTCGGGGAAGACTATATAAGCTTGTGGTTTCACTATAATTGTAACAATTAATTAAGATTGCATTAATAACTTATGGTAATTTAGCAACTTAACCTACGACCTCTACATTTTCGTCGCATAGAAAATAAACTATGCTCTTTTCTTCTCAGTTTTTTAATTCTCGAGGTTTTGGTGTAAATCTCCTCCATATTTATATTTTTTGTTCTAATTAATAAAATTCAGCCATATTAATAAATATATTAAAAGAAATAGCGTTATTTTCAATAATTTTGGAAATCTAAACATGATCTACAGTCACGCATATGGCATATGACCAAAAAGTAGATGATTGCTTTAAAAACATGACAACCCTGCACGTAGCATTACCAAACTTTTATGAACGAAATATATCGCAGTCCTGTTAATAGTTTTACCAAATTCAATAGCTCTTGATAACTCCGCGCCAAAACAACGTCAACAGTTGAATTCTCAGTCAAAATTCAATAAATTAAAGCAGAAGAATTTAAAAATTATTATGTACTATGATACTATAATTACCAGCAATGTCGATAATGTTATTTTTCACGTCTGTCTCACCACCCTCTTCCTTTGTTAAGCAAATCATTCTACCTAGGTGAAGTAAGTATTCTTTACTTCAGCCTTAATTTTCAGCGAATAAACATTATAACCTTTGTTTTGTTCGTTGCGGACGAGTTTCTTTTTCCCTTGGTGGTCAAGCAAACAATATTAGACCAATAATATATATTTAACCCAATTTTCTTTTTAAATTGTGTCCAGACAAACATCATGGCTAAACAGCAGGGGCGACTCGACATACTTAGGGGCCCTAAAGCGTAACTATAATTAGAGGCCCAAATTTTTTACAATTGATTTCTTTAGTAATTATTTTTCAACTGATAATATAGCTCATCGATTTACTCATTCTTGAGACGTTATCGGTCTTCTGTAAGATTTTATCTATTTTTATTTTGAAAAACTTTTTCCGTTGAGGCAATTATTAGGCATTTGAAAAGAATAAGTCTTTTTATGTAATCAAGTATATCGATTAGAGTATAATCTGCAACTTGTACTATTTTTCTTAATACTTTTAATTCAAAATATAAATCTAAGCCATCAATACTAGAATGACTATTATGCTTAGTGGTCAGAATGTAAAAAATGCAAAATGAACATTATATCAAGTTTAAGGAGATCACAAAGATGTTTTCTTTATTCGGAAGGACTTTTTCATCCCTCAACAGTCACATCAACGTCACAATGATAACTTTTTACTATAAAATGCTTAAACTTTTTTAAGAAAATTTAACATATAACATATTCCTATCAAAACTGGGGCCCCTCGAAATTGATGGCCTAGGCATATGCCGTACTTGCCTAGCCGTTCAGCCGGCCCTACTAAACATTAGATGCTTTTCCCTTACTCCCCACCCCCACCCTCTAAAAGAAAGAAAAGGAAAAATGACTAGATCAAATCAAATTTAAATATATGAGCATAGTCCATAAAAAGAAAACTAAATATACCGGAAAGTGTCTTTTAACCTGCAATCAGAGTATTCATTCATGAAACATTTCAGTATAAATGACGCATAAACTAGACGTTAGCCAATAGAATAATCATCTATCATCTCTCTTTCTTTCTTTGGCTCAATTCATTGTATTACACCAAACCCACTCTGCCTCTTCTTTCCAGAAATGGAGAATTTATTGGGTCTTCTGAGAATTCATATCCACAGAGGTATTAATTTAGCAATTAGGGATGTTACTAGCAGCGATCCTTATGTTGTTGTTAGGCTGGGTAGACAGGTATCGTCTTTTTTCTTGTTTTCATTTACTTCTATATTTTTCTGCTGGACAGCATGTTTTATGTTTTGCGACTATTTTTGCTTTGTTTCTTATTCGTCTTTTTTCACATTCTGGAAATTCTGGAAATTGAAATTCTGATGAAAATTGTTATTCTTTGTTGTGAGACTCCCATAAAAAAAAATACTTGGAGAATTTGGCCATTTTTGGGGTTTTCACTTGCTAAATATTTTGAAGGGGAGTCATGGAGCAACGGATTGACTCCGTGTGACCTATAGATCATGAGTTCGAGCTGTGTAATTAGCTATTAATGCTTGCATCATGGTAGACCGAAAAGATAACACCCCTTAGGGTGCAACCCTTCTCCGGACCCTGCGTGAACACATAATACTTTGTGCACCGGGCTGCCTTTTTTGCCACTTGCTGAAAATTTTGTAGTGTAGAGTCTGTAGACTCCTTTTGACGACATAGCGATTTTGCTGCAGTATTTTTGTAATTCGTGTAAATTTGATAGCTTTCTTTTAGGGTATCAACACAAGTTTCTGTAAATTTCAGGTCAAACATTTCTGTTCATGTAGGTGGCAAACCATATACCCTATTTTCATCTGAATCTCTCTATTTGTTAAATTGTGTTTGGTTGCATCCGTGTTGACTAGTTCATATCTTTACCAACGCTAATCACATGAAAAGATAAAGACTTTTGAGTAATAATTTGTCATAGCAGATTCGAAACAGAATCAGGCCTTAATGAACCTCAAGATATATATTATTTAAAATATTTGGACCAACTGGGTGTTCAATGGTTCTCATTGCCCTGTTACTACATTTCCCCCTCTTATTCATGGCTTCTATATGCTGATATATATATATATATATACTATATTCTTATCTTGTAATGTTAATCTTGTTTTATTTCTGGGCAGAAACTGAAGACTCGAGTGGTGAAGAAAAATGTCAATCCTGAATGGAATGAAGATTTAACATTATCCATCACTGAACCAATTCAACCAATCAAACTGGTAATTAACTTATTTTTGTTTTATAAAGGAATAGAACAACATCTTAACATGGAATTTCTGCAACAATAAAAAAATAAATGGTGTAGTTGTAGATTTGTAGTTAATACTAGCTTGCTTTCAACTTTTTCAAAGGAATTTAAGAAATAAGACATGCCAACAAAGGCAGTGGCAGAGCTATGTATGGTAAATGGGTTTATCGGGAAATTGTATTGTCCATATAGGAAATTCTGTTAAATGTATATATAAAACTTGTTAAATCTCCTTTGTAATTTATGCAATTCTAAATTTGATTCCTGGTTGTTGTTCTTTTCTTGTAATTGCAGCAAGTCTATGACAAGGATATATTTTCCCTAGACGATAAAATGGGAGATGCAGAACTTGACATATTTCCATTTATAGATGCTGTAAGAAAGCGCTTCGAGAACATTCCGAATGGAACCATAATCACCAAAATAAAGCCAAGCAGGGAAAATTGCTTCTCTGAAGAAAGCTGTATTGTCTGGGAAAATGGTCAGGTTGTTCAAAATGTGTTTATTAGATTGCGAAATGTTGAGCGTGGTGAAATAGAGTTACAATTGCAGTGGATTGATATTCCTGGTTCTAAGGGTCTCTAGTTACTTATTCTATCCATCATGTACAGTAAGTATGCTTTCTTGATGTCTAATTAGCTTCATCTTGTATTGTCTCCCTTCTTTGATCTGTAAAGTTATGGTGAGATATTTGTGGTATTTTTCGTTGAATTTTCGTCTTATTGAATATTAAAGTTACCTAATCAATGAATTAGTTAATTGTTGTTCATCTTCATATTCTGAAACTATTATGTATAAGATAGCTTCTTTTGACTTGAATATTAGCTTTACGTTCAAGAAGTCATGGATAATATGAGTATCTATATTATCCACGGGTTAACTTATATTTTATTCGCATTGAATATGAGTGGGTCGAATATTTTGTCTGTTTCTGCATTACTCATTTTGACCCGCCCATATTCGACTCGACCCACCCGTTTGCCACCCCTAAGCCATGTAAAGGACGATCTATTCAAACTAGAAATCAACGTGTAAACTTTATTGTGAATCTACGTAATTACAAGGACATATCTCAACGAGAACTGCCCCTTGTATATGAAGTAATCATGACTAGGGTGTACAAACCGAAAAAAAAAATTGCACCAAACCGAAAAGTCAAACCAAACCGATGAAAAAATACGACTAGGTTTGGTTTGATTTGGTTTGGTATTGAGTGAAAAAATCCAAACCAAACCGACATATAAATATATAATTTATATATATACTTTTAAGACTTTTTATAGAATTTTCTTTAAAAAATGTCTAGAATTATTTGCGATTCTTTTATGGGATGTAATATTTAGATAAATATGAAGTGCTCCATTTTTATTAACTTTAAATAATGGGTTGTATGATTACTTTCTTATCAAGTGTTACTGAAATGCGTCAATCTCTTTGTTCTTTCATATTCATATGTCAAGGTTTATCGAATTCTTATATCTTTTTCGAAATTGAAGTGGTATTTCGATAATTTAAAATTACATAGGACATATCATTGTTTAAGTATCATATTGATTTTTAAGTTTAATTATTAAATTCGGTTAACCTTAAAAGTGTACGTCAATGAAAAATTATTGTCAGGCGACTAAAAAGATAGTATCATGTTTTACTAAGAAAATTCTCCCGTAAGAATATTTTAATTGATCATATGTTTGTCAATTTTTCAATTTAGTAAACGTATATTTACTTATAAAAAATTTAACAACGTACGATTGAAATATTATTTATGTAACAAAAAATCCAAAAAACCCAAAAAATTCGACAAAACCGACCAATCCAAACCGGTATAATTGTTTTGGTTTGGTTTTGATAAAAATTGAACCAACCCGATCTATGTACACCCCTAATCATGACCTAAAGAATATCAAAGAGAAAGGAAAAATGTATTACATGGTGGACGTGAAGTGGGAGAGAAAAGGTGTCAGTGTCACAATTGGAGTTTTGAATAGTATAGTGATTTTACCTCTCTACATTTTCTTTCACCTTCCGGGGCCAAGCTAGAAGCTCAATTACAATTTCGGTCGAATTCAGTAGCTTTTGCTCAAATTATCACACTACGAACCTGGGTCTGGACGTAACACGGTATCTGGTGCCCGACTACATATGACCGAGCGAACCAATTGGATGACTAAATTAGCATGTGATATCATAACATACTGAATGCGGAATATAAACTAATACATACTGATATACTGAAAGTCTGAAGGATATAAATCAATGTGTGAAATCACTAATATAAGTCTGAAACACATTTGAAGCCAACAATGCTTAACATGAAAAGCGTGCGACTTTGTCTAACTGTTACTCTAGTCTATAAAGCCTCTAATGAAGTACTGAAAACATTGACTGTATGTAAACTCTAAAAGACTCTAAAGTAATGATAATGCCCCGAAAGAATTAGGCTCACCAAATAGCTGGTACGAGAATCCTAGTGCTCTTAATCGTCGATCTGTAAATCATTACCTGCATCGTGAGATGCAGGCCCCGGGCAAAAGGGACGTCAGTACATTTGAATTGCACTGGTATGTAAAGCAACTAAAAGAAAGAACTGTAAATGCTGAAACTGAAACTGAACTGATAACTAATAACTCATAATTGAGAACTGATAACAAATATTTGATAACTGAAACGATAACTGATAACTGAATTGAACAAATGAAGTAAGGATATGAATACTCCCTCTTATGAATCATGAACCAACTGTTTATCTGAATATTAAAATGCAGCCTCAGGCCCTATATATATGTGTACAGGCTGCGGCCTCGAGCCCAAGTATACTATACATAACTGCGGCCTCAGGCCCAAAGACGTATAAAGCATACATTGCAGCCTCGGGCCCAAAGATACATAAAACATAAACTATGGCCTCAAGCCCAAAGATGCATAAAGCATAAATTGCGACCTCAGACCCAAAGATGCATGAAGCATAAACTACGGCTTCAGGCCCAAAGATGCATAAAGCATACACTGTGGCTTCAGGCCCAAGTACAGGGGTTCAACATTCAGGGATTCAAAATCAGGAACTGAGAATCATACTAAAATGCATGATAGTGAAAATACTAAATCATATTTAGTTACATGATACTGGAATGCTGAATAGAACTAGACCGAGATATGTATTGATGAATTGATTATGAGAACTTATGCTTCAACTATTTATGACATGCTGGTAATCTAGACTAAGACTCATGGGAATTAAACACAAGTCTATATTGATTACACACTGAGCTCACAATGTTCGGAATGAAAGTCATGAACGAATTATGAAGCTAGAGAATAGAAGTTCGGCAACTATTCAGGGAACTGTGCTTAACTAAATTTTTGAGGCAATTAATAACGTCGCAAAAGAAACGTAGTGTAGGGAGAATCATTAACATTCCCAAACATAAAGAGTTAGCATCACATACCTTAACTTCCTGCTCGAGCGTAATACAATATTCGCTAATCCTTTCAACTTTAATCTATATCAATACAAGTCAAAGGGATTCCATATTAGCAATAATACTCATGTTTTGGTCACTTAGGTATTTTATCAAATATTTGTTGGGCATAAAGCTTCATAGTCCTTATTAATGCTGTTTCTACACCCAACAACCCATTATCTTACTCATAGATAAATTCTAAAATCTCAATTTGCTATAATCAATACCATTCTTCATCATCCATAAGATAAAAAACACACTTAATCAATAATCAACAATCAACAACCCAAACCTATAATTTCATGATTTTCTATCAAACCCATCAACTCATATCTCATGATCTTAGAGTCTACAAAAATTAATCCAATGCTATAATTATTAGAGGATAAAGATATTACCTTTTGACGTTTAATCCTCTTGAATTCGAGTTCTAGGGTCTCTTCTCTCAACAATGATATCCCAATTTAATGATTTGATGGGTTTACCCATGTTAATAAGGTATTGGAGAATTGGAATTAACTTAGAATCACCATTAGAACTTACCTTGGATGGTGGAGGGACTTGAGGAGTTAGGTTCTCGAGAGCTTCCCTTTGTAGAGCAAGTTTTTGTGTTTTGGGATGTGGGGGACGAAGTAGGGCTTTTAAAATGACCCCCCGGGTGCGCTCCCGCACACCTGAAGGCTCAAACGTGCATCTGAATGCAGCAAGGCAGTAGCACTACCGCAAGTGTGCGGCTGCACACGGGACCATCCGGGCGCGCACCTGGGCATGCATACTGCGCATTATCTAGTATAACGTTCATAACAATTTACACATAGATCCGTTCGGGCTTCACAATATATCGTTGGAAAGATATTTTAAAGGGATACGACTTTCATGATTTGCGTTTTCCCAAATTTCTTACAGGTTTTCACGATATCCCGATGGAAGATAGACCTTTTGTAAAATTGGTCGATTTTATCGAATTTTATGCACCTCATTTCGTCTTAATTGTAAAATAACTATTTCCACCCATACTCATCCTGATAGAACTTCACATGTCTAAAATATAACATTACTACTCATTTAACACATCCACATCTAGTTTGCATTTATGGGGTGTTACATTATCTCCCCCTTGGGATCATTCGTCCTCGAATGATTGTCCTGACTGTAACTACGGCTAAATCTGGACCTTAAACGGTTCTGGTGGAAACATGCACTTTCATGAACACTTGCATACTAAATTGAATGAATACATGATTACTGAACTGCTGAGATACTGAACCGAATGACGACAACATTGACTGAATACTGAGCTAACTAAATACTGAAGGACGTGGAGATTATAATATAAGGTCTGAATGATAAGGTTAGTTACCTTCAACATTTCTCCAAACCACCCGCCAGCTATCATATCATAACACAAGTCTCACAGGGCATCATAATGCGCATAACATGAAATATATAAGTGAATATTGGTCTGCCATGGATACGTGAATACTGAACTAATATGAATATATAAATATTGAACTGGCACGAATATTTGAGTACTGAACTGACATCAATATTTGAGTACTAAGCTTGCATGAATATCTAAGTACTGGACTGACATGAGTATCTGAGTATTGAATTGACATGAGTATCTGAGTACTGAACTGACATGAGTATCTGAGTACTAAACTGACATGAATATCTGAATACTGAAAACTTGAATGTCATAACATGACACGTGAAGTACTGGGTGTACAACCGCCAATTCTGGTGGCAACTCTAACTCATTAGCTACATACCCGATCCTTCGTAGGATCCTATACGACCTGATGTATCTGGGTCTGAGCTTTCCTTTCTTCCTAAATCTTGTAACACATTTCATAGGCAAAACTTTCATAAATACTCAATCAATCATGCTTTCAAAATGAGTGAGATAATCTTGTTATAAAGTCTATATTTACGATCTCCACTCAAATATATGTGTATTCTATGGTAAAACACTGGGTTTTCTGCTGCTCGACTTTCACTTGCTGATAATTCGTACACCTGGTCATAAAGTATGTGATTTCCTTTTTCATGTTGTTCCACCAATAAATATCCTTGAGCATGATACATCTTTGGGGAACCTGGGTGGATAGAGTACCTGGAATTATGGGCTTCTAACATGATCCTCCTTCTCTAAGTCCATCTATGTCTGGAACACACAGTCCCTCTTGGTACCTCAAAGTACCATCATCTGCCCCTTATTCGAAAGCCATCGCCATATGCATGAGAATCCCATCTTTCAGCTGCAACAAGTAGGGATCATCAAACTGTTTCTTCTTCACTTCGGCTACTAAGG